ACTCTTTAGGGATAGCTGGAATCTCAGACCATGATTTGATGTACACATGTGATCTCTCTGCTAAAGAAGAGCTTGATGTGATAGAAGAACCTCACTATATTCAACAGAGGGTTCAAAAAGCTCAATTCCTTGTTGAATTAGAGTCTCAAAATGCAGGGCTCCTGATGGAACAACAAACAACTAGAAATGAGGGGACCTGGCTAAGAGAACCTGTGTTTCCTTCTCAAACAAAGAAAAAATGCCCCAAATTCAATAATCCACAGCCTCAGCCTTCACCTCTTTTAACCACCCATCACATTCAGGAAGATATCAGTTCCCAAATGGCAAATGTAATCATTGATGACCCACCAGAAGAGGGTGAGAAAGATGATCTCTCCAGTATTAAGACAAACATTACTATCCCGCAAGATGGTTGGCATCCATGTGAAAGTACATTTGATGCTGATTCTATAGCTACTTTCCCCAAAGGGTTTGAAAGTTTAGAAGAAACTTGGAATGACTCATTACTGGGATTGTCAAAAAGCTTTGCAACTGAAAAGGAAGCTCTACCAAAAGAAGCCTTACAAGAGGGGCCTACACAAGAGGCACCGCAAGAAGAACCTCCAGGAAATTTTAATTATTCGCTTACCAAATCAATCAAAGCTGATCTCAAGCCAAATCTGGATCAGCTAAAGGATGATGAGATTTCACATCAGCACAATCCCTGGCCCATTAATCCCATAACAAATGGAAATCAAAATACAGAATCAAATGTATCTGTTATTGAAATAACTGATGACTTGTCAGCATCCCATAGTGCACTGCAGGATGCTCAAGCAAATGAGGCCAACTTGGAAGAGAAACTTTCCACATCTTCACCACAATATGCATGTGACTTCAATCTTTTCTTGGAAGACTCTGCGGACAATGGAAAAAATCCTCCTAGTCATTCTTTAGAACATATGGAGAAAACAAATAGCTTATGTGACTCTGCAGCTAATTCCAGATCAGAGTTTGTACCTAGAAAAACATGTCTCAGTTGGGATTTTACTGAAAAAGATGATGAAGCAGAAGAAGTAATAGTTAATGTGAAAATCAGAAGTAAAGCGAGAAGGATTGTTTCAGATGACGAAGATGAAGATGATTATGATTCTTTTAAAGGTACCTCAAGCACAAAATCATTCCACACATCTCCCTTTCAATTCTCATCTGTGAAACAATTTGATGCTTCAACTCCCAAAAATAACATTAGTCCTCCTGGAAGGTTCTTTTCCCCTATAATGTCCAATAGTGTAAATAAGTCTATAAACTCTAGAAGATCTCTGGCTTCAAGGAGATCTCTTATTAATATGGTTTTAGAACATGTGGAGGATATGGAGGAAAGACTTGATGATAGCAGTGAAGCAAAGAGTGCTAAAGATTATCCAGAAGAAGAGGCAGAGGAAAGCAGTGAGGAAGCCTCTGAGCATACAGAAGAGGATCCTTCTGGAGAAACACTGTCTTCAGAAAACAAGTCTAGCTGGTTAACTAGGGCTAAGCCCAGTGCTTTAGTTCAGGAAACCTCTCTTACTGAGTCTGAGCCATTATCTAGTGATTCTCCCCAGGATGAAGCAGTGGAGTCTGTGAATGACTATGAAACTCTTATAATGCGTGGAAAAGAACTGAAAGAGTGTGGAAAACTACAGGAGGCCCTAAACTGCTTAGTTAAAGCACTTGACATAAAAAGTGCAGATCCTGAAGTCATGCTTATGACTTTAAGTTTGTATAAGCAACTTAAGACTTAAGAACATAACCTATGTATTATAAAGTGAAACTGAGTATGAGGTAATTTTTGTTTCTGTAATTGGATTCTTTGGTTGGAGGCATCAAATATTTAGACTTTGTTGTGAGAAAGATCTCAAAAAGCAACTTCTGTCTCTACCCCCTGGCTCTTGTCTCTTCCTCCCCCATATTCTGGTATTGTGAGTACTAGCTTAATATTTCTTCAATTGAATGTTCTTAAATTTTTTAATAGGCATATTCTATAAACCTTACATTATTTCTAGAGAAGTTTTTGTAAAATTATTCTGGTTTTCTTAATTTTACTCTGAAGGTGATCACTTTTGTACATCACAGTTCAATTAAGAAAATTAAAGTTAACTTTCTCTAATGTGTTTCATTCACTTTCTTTAACTGAGATGATGTCAAAGCCACAAGGGTTTGGTTGGCCCAGGTCCACTTGCACAAAGATCCAAAAGATTATTGAGATAATCTGAAGATTGTCAAGGAAAAGAAGACTTTTTTTTTTTAAAGGTGGCAGCAGCGGCTGCCTGCCCTCCCGCCCAGCGCTGCCAAGGAAAAGAAGAATTTTTAAAATGAAAGACCTTTTGTGGGGAGAGGCTGAGATCATGGGGTTTTTTTGTTTTGTTTTGTTTTGTTTTTTGAGGCAGAGTCTCATGTCGCCCTTGGTAGAGTGCCATGGTGTCACAGCTCACAGCAACCTCAAACTGTTGGGCTCAAGCCATTCTCTTGCCTCAGCCTCCCAAGTAGCTGAGACTACAGGCGCCCACCACAATGCCTGGCTATTTTTTTTTTTTTTTTGAGACAGAGCCTCAAGCTATTCCCCTGGGTAGAGGGTTGTGGCATCATAGCTCACAGCAACCTCCAACTCCTGGGCTCAAGCAAGTCTCCTGCCTCAGCCTCCCAAGTAGCTGGGACCACAGGGGCCTCGCCACAACGCCTGGCTGTTTTTTGGTTGCAGCCATCATTGTTTTGTCAGGCCCGGGCTGGATTTGAACCCACTACCTTAGGTGTATGTGGCCGGCGCTTTAGCCGCTTGAGCCACAGGCGCTGAGCCATGCCCAGCTATTTTTTTTTGTTGCAATTCGAACCCAACACTCTGTGTATGTGGCTTGTGCCATAACCACTGTGCTACGGGTGCTGAGCCATTTTCTTAGTCTATTTTTTTTTTGAGACAGAGTCTCACTTTATCACCCTTGGTAGAGTGCTGTGGCATAACGGCTCACAGTGACCTCCAGCTCCTGGGCTTAGGTGACTCTCCTGCCTCAGCCTCCTGAGCGGCTGTCAACCACCACAATGCCCAGCTATTTTTTTGTTGCAGTCTGGCTGGGCTGAGTTCAAACCCGCCACCCTCGGGATATGGGGCCAGCGCCCTACTCACTGAGCCATAAGTGCTGCCCTTTTTTTTTTTTTTTTGAACCGACAGGCTCACTTTGTCACTCTGGGTAGAGTGCTGTGGCATCACAGCTTACAGCAACTTCAGACTCAAGAGTTCCTATTGCCTCCGCTTCCTAAGTACAGGAACCCAGAACACCTGGCTGTTCAGGCAATCTACATGCCTCGGTTTCCACTTCCCAGAGTCGCTGCACCTGGCCCTTTTTTTTTTTTTTGAGATGGCGTCTCTCTTGCCCTGGGTATAGTGCCATGGCCTCATAGCTCACAGCAACATATGGAGAAAACAAACTGCTGGCCTCTCACATCGGCCTGCCAAGTAGGAGGTGCCCACCACAATGCTTGGCTCGTTTTTCTGTTTTTAGTAGAGATGGGGAGGGGGATCTCCTGCCCAAGCTGGTCTTGAACTGAACTTCAGCTAGCCTCTGGCCTTGGCCTTCCAGAATGCTAGGATTACAGACAGGAACTACCTTGCCTTGCCAGATCATGGGCTTTTAAAGGAGGGTCCAGGTGCCTTGGGGCAGCTTATGATGTAACTAACAAAGGGTTCCATGCTTTGGGGAAAGATGGTTGAACTTGGTTTCAAGAAGTTAACCCAGGGGGCCTTCAAAATCTCAGCTCCTTTGTCTTGCAGAAAATCTATCATTTCTGGGCAACAACTCGAAAGGTTAAGTAGTTAAGAGCGATTATAAAAAGAAAAGGGGGGGAGGTTACTGAAATTTGTTCAAAGAGTTGGTTACAATGATTCAGGCAAATACATATGGAAATTCCTTAGTTCAGGCAGGAGCTTCTCACAGTATTTCCAAATCTAACACATTTATTAACCTGCTATTTTAGGCTTTCAGTTTAATACAGGTTGAATACCCCTAATCTGAAATTCCCAAATTTGAAATGCTCCAAAATCTGAAACTTTCTGAATGCTGACATGTTACAGTAGGAAATTCCACACCTGATGTCTGATGAAAATGCAGGTGCATGGCAGTTTATTTAGTGTCTCCAAGGAAAAAAAGACCCAGCCCCCCTTAGCGGCAATATATACTTTCTGCTCATGCCCAGATTCTCCCACATGAGCCTGCCCACAATAAATTGGTTCAATATACACAAACTGTTTCGTGAACAAAATTATTTAAAATATTGCATAGAATTACCGTCAGGCTATATGTATAAGGGGTATATGAAACACAAATGAATTTTGTGTTTAGACTTAGGTCCCATCCCTAAAATATCTCATTATATATATGCAAATATTCCAAAATCAAAAACTCTGTTCTGGTCCTAAGAATTTTGGAAAAGGCATAGTTGTACAGCAGACATGTGTGATAAGGTACCTGGTACAAGGATTCTTTATCACTGGTAGCACCTGCCCTGGAGTCACTTTGCTGACTAGTTAGCCATTCTTCACTCACCGTCAATTGTGTTCTCCTTTTCTTCAAACCAGGTATCTTGTCTATTCTGATGTGTTATCACATTCAATCTTTGGATTGTAGACTGAAAAGGAGTTTGGTTCCCTCACAGAAACATAAAGTACAGTGCGTCATGCTGCACTGTCACCAGAGAAGGGGAACTGTCATTTATTAAGTACCTACTATGTATTGTGTTCTACACAGACTTTTCATTTAATCCTTACCAAAATCCTTTGAGATAGAGGGAAGGCAACATTCTCTTTCCTTTCCTTTCTTTCTTTCTTTCTTTTTTTTTTTTTTTGAGACACAGTATGTTGCCATTGGTAGAATGCTGTGGCATCACAGCTTACAGCAACCTCAAACTCTTGGGCTTAAGTGATTCTCTTGCCTCAGTCTCCCGAGTAGCTGGGACTACAGGCACCCACCACAACACCCGGCTATTTTTTTTTCAATATGGAATGCATCACGAATTTGCGTGTCATCCTTGTGCAGGGGCCATGCTAATCTTCTCTGTATCGTTCCAATTTTAGTATATGTGCTGCCAAAGCGAGCACAACCTGGCTATTTTTTTGTTGCAGTTGTCATTGCTGTTTAGCAGGCCTGGGCCGGGTTTGAACCCACCAGTCTTGGCACCGTAACCACTGTGCTATGGGCACTGAGTCAACATTTTCATTTGAGAAAATAAAGGTTTCAGGGAGGCTGTGACCTTGCCCATGGTGACATAGGGGTGAAACAGATTTTTAACCTTATATTATCTATAAATGAAAAGCGACTATAAAATACTGAAATACAACTATTTAGTAATAAATAGTAAAACCCTGTTTTACTTCTGACACCAAATGAGGTTTTCCTCACCAAGCAATTCTCTGCTTTTCTGCAGACATTAACTTGGTGCCCTACAATTCAATTCCAATTCATTTCTGATACTACCTAGAGCATCCAGACTCTGATGCTAAGGGCTCAGTCCCACAAGAAGGCCCTCACTTCACATGGCAGTTATAAGTATTAAGTCCCCCTGTCACACACTTCTATCCAACTTAGCTACAAACCCAAAGGGCCCTTTCCCCTACTCTCCCATCAAGTTTGATAATTTACTAGAATAGCTCACAGAACTTAGGAAAAGCTTACTATTTACTATTACTAGTTTATTATAAGCAACACAACTCAGGAATAGTGTAAAGGGAGAGGTGCATAAGTGCAAGTTATGCTGTTGGTGCACAGAACCACCCCCTTCAGGTACCCCAGCTCCTAACACCTTGACGGTTAAACAGCCATTGCTTAGGGGTCTTGAGATATCCCTTAGAGGGGCATGGTTAAGTAATTGGCCTTTGGTGATTAACTTGATCTCCAACCCCACTCAGGAGCTATCTAAGGGCCTCAGGCCTATAGTAGTTTCATTAGCATACAAAAGATTCGTCACCCCAGAGTCTAAGGGTTTTAGGAGTTAGATATCGGGTGGTGAGACAAATTTTATTACCCATGTAAGTTACTTGTGAATTATATGTACATTACTGTTCTCATATATTACAAAATATTATAAAGGTATGAGATAAGCTAAAATTTGAATAGGTTATCAATGGCACAAAATTTTGATCTTACTAAAATCAATTATTATTATTATTATTATTTTTGCAGGTTTTGGCTAGGGCTGGGTTTGAGCCCACCACCTCCAGCATATGGGGCCGGTGTCCTACTCGTTTGAGTCACAGGTGCCACCCACTAAAAGCAATTATTACTAATATTTTAGGGTAATGTGATTGAGGACGTATCTGTTTTTGAAAAATTAGTGTAACTTTGTCTTTAGGCAATTTTAGTCTGCATCTGAATCCAGCTCACTATTTTTCTATGTAGTATCCCACTGTGATGGAGGTGAAGGGAGTGACTGCACCCTACTACATCTTTTTTTTCAGTCCCTTCCAAACAGACAACTGTGGAAATTCAGCTAATAAATTCCTTTCTTCCTTGATTTAAGAAAAAAAATTTACATATGGTTTATTTGCCTGCCAGGAGGGGCCTATATCTATTTCACCTGAACGGTGAAGCTTAAGTCCTTAGTGTATTTCTCATTGAAGAAACAAAATGCTCTTTCTGTTTAAGTGTATGCTATGTATGACAACGTTTTGTTTGGGAAAAAAATCCTTGCACATGGTAAAATATTCAAACAATACCCAAGGTAAGGATTTTTTTTTTTTTTTAAATCGGTAGGACCAAGGTAAGGATTTTTAACCAGGGGTTCATGGATAGAATTCAGGTGTCTGAATTTGGATGAGAAAAACGTTATGTCTTTCCCCCCACTGCCCTGTAGCTGGAATTTAACATTTCTTTTCATTAATACTTCTACAATAAACTGCAGATGTATTAAGCAGTATCTGTGACTTTGTCATCAATAGAATTCCATGGTTATTGCAGATATCTCAAAATACCATTGATATTCATTACAATATCACTTTGGTTTTTAGACTTACCACTAGGTGTTACTTAATATATTAATAAAGAGGGACACACATATATTACAATATAAAATTTTTTTTAATCAAGATATGATAGCATGTGACTGGCAAAGTAGTTTACATAGGGTGGTCAGGGATGGCCTTGCTGTGGAGAGGACAGACATTCTGACGAGACTGGAAATACAAGAAGAAACCAGGTAGCTGGAACCAGTGCTTAGGTCTCATATGAGATCAAGCTTGGCGGGCAAAGAAGGCCAGTGTAGAAGGCGGCCGGTGCGGGTGGGGCTAGGGAGAGATGCGAGCCTGGGTGCTTTTGCGCGCAGGGTCTCCAGGGCATAGGGAGGGCTTGATTTTATCTATAAAGGGCATGGAAAGCCTCTGAAGGTTTTAAACAAGATTGGAATTACATTTTCTATTTGTTTTTACATTTTTATTATGTTTTAGGAAGAGCCTTGTGGTTACTGGGACCTATGGCAGATACTGAAAGTGGAGCAAGAGCCTCTAACATGCCAGCCAGCCTTTTCCCACTCAGGTCCCCAATTTCTCCTTCTACAATATCCGGTGGTAGGGAACCGGATCCTAGGGAGTCCACGGACAAAGACGGGCTGCTCACACACGCCGAGCAGGTTACTGCCCTAGGTAGAGCGCTTCCGCGTCTCTCCAGGCTAAAGCCAAGGTCCGATAACGTATTCGCACGGCCAACCAATCACAGCCCCAGCGGGCGGGAGGAACCGCCCCTACAAACCGCGCCGCCTTGGCCCTTCTGCCCAGGGCGCTCAATCACTAGGCGAGCAGCCAAGGGGCGGCACCATCACCAGTCGGAACCCAGTTATTGGCTGGTGGCCGTGTCGCTCTCTCCAAAGAGCGACGTGACTCAAGAGATTTAAACTTTTGATTACTGTGTTTCAAAACAGTTGACATCCTTTGTAATCTTACGTATTTTATTTTATGCCTTTAAAAATCAACAACAAAGGCTCGGCGCCTGTGGCTCAAGCGGCTAAGGCGCCAGCCACATACACCTAAGGTGGCGGGTTCGAATCCCCAGCCCGGCCCGCCAAACAACAATGATGGCTCAACTAAAAAATGGCCGGGCGTTGTGGCGGGCGCCTGTGGTCCCAGTTACTTGGGAGGCGGAGGCAGGAGACTCGCTTGAGCCCAGGAGTTGGAGGTTGCTATGAGCTGTGATGCCACGGTACTCTACCCAGGGGGATAGCTTGAGGCTCCGTCTCAAAAAAAAAAAAAAAATCAACAAAACTATCAAAAGGCTTTGCCACAAAAAAAGTTATAACCCCTGATCTAAGAGTATAAGGTAGAAAGTTTCTTTTGTGATTGCCATTCTCAGAGATAGTCTGTGTTACGTACAAGCACAAGTATAGACATGTATACATTTATATCTTTGTTTGAATGTACTTTTTTTTTTGAGACAGAGTCTCAAGCTGTCGCCCTGGGTAGAGTGCCATGGCATCACAGCCCACAGCAAGCTCCAACTCCTGGGCTTAAGTAATTCTCTTGCCTCAGCCTCCCATGTAGTTGGGACTACAGGTGCCCACCACAACACTGGGCTATTTTTTGGTTGTAGTTGTCATTGTTGTTTGGCAGGCCCGGGCTGGATTCGAACCTGCCAGCTCTGGTGTATGTGGCTGGCACCTTAGCCATATGAGCTACAGGCGGCTAGCCTATTTGAATGTACTTTTAAAGTATACAGGCCAGGTGTGGTAGCATGTGCCTATAGTTCCAGCTACTCCAAGGCTGAGGTAGGAGTTGCTCTAGCCCAGGAACCTGAGGTTGTGAGTGGTGATCAAATCACTGCACTCTGGTCTGGGCAACAGAGTAAGACTCTGCCTCAAATAAAAAAAAAGTACATGTGGTTTTAATCTTATACCTGAAAGTACACGTAGTGAAAATAAGATGAAGTCATTCAGGCTAGGGCCAACAAGACACCGCTGGTCTGGTCAGTTTAGGTCCTAAGAGACTTTTACCTCCTATCTCCCATTTTGTAAATTTAGCTCCCACCCTAAAGATGTCTATCTTGGGCAGTTTAGGTGGATTGATTTAGGAGATTAACTTTTGAATTGGAATGTTGTAATAAGTCACTGAGTTATGCTGATTATTATTTGGAATAGGGGTTGGTGTCGTCTTTGCTTTAGACTTTTATGTATAAAACTATGATTTTGGAAATGAGAGATAGAACAGTCTTAGAGAGGCTACTCTCATTGTTCTCCAGAATCCTGGACTTCTGACAAATAAAGTTTAGTGGACCTATCCCCATCTCTGCATACTGGCTGACAGTGACAAGCAGCCAGACCCTCTTAGTCAAGTAACACACCAACTATTTGAACATATCTGGCATATCTGCTCAATGGGGAAAATCTCATATGGAGGCATATTCTGCTGAGTGCTCAGAAATTCTTCTAAAGCGGGAAACTCAGGTCTTAGGTGAAGATGTCATCATATAAGTTGGCATAATATCAAATGCAGATGAAGAAAAGAATGAATGTGTGTCAAAAGAATAACTGTTAAGGCTTGGTGCCTGTGGCACAGTGGTTACGGCGCCAGCCACATACACCGAGGGTGGCGGGTTTGAACCTGGCCAGGGCCAACTTAACAACTGCAACAACAACAACAAAAAATAGCCAGGCATTGTGGCAGGCACCTGTAGTCCCAGCTACTTGGGAGGCTGAGGCAAGAGAATTGCTCGAGCCCAAGAGTTTGAGGTTGCTGTGAGCTGTGACAATACTGCACTCTACTGAGGGTGACATAATGACACTCTGTCTCAAAAACAAAAAGATAAATAAATAAAATAAAAAAGGGAGTTAAGGCTCAGTGCCCAGGGCTCCAGCCACATACACTGAGGCTGGCAGATTCAAACCCAGCTTGGGCCTGCTAAACAACAATAACAACTAAAACGAAAAAATAGCCTGGCACTGGGCAGGCACCTATAGTTCCAGCTATTTGGGAGGCTGAGGCAAGAGAATCACTTAATCCCAAGAGTTTGAGGTTGCTGTGAGCTGTGATGCCACAGTACTCTACCAAGGGCGACATAGTGAGACTATCTCAAAATAAAAAAAAGAAAAAGAAAAAGGGAGTTAACATGGAATAGCTATCATGTACCATGTACTGTGTCTGTTAAGATAACAGAGCTAATACCTGTTCTGGCAGATCAGAGTTGACTATCTTATAAAACAAGTGCTATCCAGGAACTTTATCATACATTAACCCATCTCTTTGATGCCCAATGTTTTCAATTGCATGTATAATTTGAGTTGATTTGCCTAAACGTGGTTTTTGAATTAATTTATGGGACATACTAAAAGATAAAAGTAGTTCTGGGAAGAAAGGGAATACAGGTCAAAAGGAATCTGCTTGACCATAAGTTTGGAAAATGCTTAGTTGCTCTGTAGGTGCTACTCGTGGGATGAGAAAAGAATTTCTCTAGGCCAAGACAGGAATATAAAAATATAAGTCTATTTTATATTAGAGATAAGGAAGAGTCAGGGGAAGAGATGAGGAAGAAAAAGAAGGAAGCAGAGAGCAGGGAGTGAGAGGAGGGAAGATGGGGGGTAAAGAGAGAAAAGGCGTGAGAGAATGGTACAGCATCCCAAAGAAAGAAAGGAGGAATGTCTACCCTGAGGTCCAGTGGGCAGATGAATTTAAGGGGGAGAAGGTAATTACAGCTGAATTTACAAGGTATTATGCCTGTGAAGGCTATGTCTGTTTTTCCTCCAGCAAGGTTGAAGACACATTTTTCCAGGTGTTATTGTATATCTGGGACACTTGGGAAAGACTTGAGGCTTAAAAGAACAAATTCTAGAAGACGAAGGAGCTGGGGAAATGTAAAGAGAAAGAATTTACACTTCCTTTTTGTCTAGTACCCTGTGGTTTGTGAAAACAGAAATCCACAAGGGTAGGGGGCTGGGAGTGGCAGGAGAAAGAAAGCAGGCAGAGAGATTTTATGCCTTGTTGAAAACCTATGAGTTTGGCTTGGTACCCATAGCTCAGTGATTAGGGCACGGGCCACATGCATTGGGGCTGGTGGGTTCGAACCTAGCCTGGGCCTGCTAAACAACAACAACAAAAAACAAACAACAACAATAGCCTGGTGTTGTGGTAGGCACCTGTAGTTCCAGCTACTTGGGAGGCTGAGACAAGAGAATCACTTGAGCCCAAGAGTTTGAGGTTGCTGTGAGCTATTATGCCACAGTACTCTACAGAGGGTAACAAAATGAGACTCTGTCTCAATATAAAAAAAAGAAACAGAAAAACTATGAGTTGATAATTTTCTATTATTTCACTATAAAGACTGACCATCCTTATACATACTTGACTTATCTTTGAGAACTGATAAATACCTACTGCAGTATGCACTAACCTATGCCCACTTTCTTCTGAACCTATTAAGCCCATACTGACAGTTCACAAAATATAAGGATTATCTAATACCTTTTAAAGAAACAAAATATATAAAACTTAATCAGTCTTTCATATGATTTATTTTCTCCCTTCAATCATAATAATATGATATCCAAATTTTGTCTTAACTGGTGGGTCTGTAAACACAGGTTTATCCATCCCACTTACAGGCAAGGCAAATGCTGCTTCTTGAAAAGGTCCAACCATGGACCCTCTGGTCATCCAACCCAAGTCGCCCTGAAAAACCAAAGATACATGTTATCACGTGGTCCTAAATAGGGAATAGTTCTACTGTAGCTTAAGAGAATTTCCCAACATGAATGCTAAGGTTAGTAAGTTTATTCATCTGGGGTGTACAGGAAAAGGCTCAGTAAGGACAAATAGGTATAGAAGTCTAATCCTAGAATGAATACATACGCATGAACAGTACTGCTGGACTTTGAAGATAGCTATACAAGTTTGGTCATGTAGAAGCTTAGACACAGGTGACCCTTATTCTACTATTCAAAAGTTGAACATTTCTGCTTTTAATGTCTTTGGTTTTGCTTTTTTTTTTTTTTGAGACAGAGCCTCAAGCT